GCACTTTATATGGTTTCATCTCGTTTAAATTTTTCCGCTCATCCTCTGATCTCTGCTATCAGGCCGTGCTCTTTTGATGCGTGTGTGCTGGCTGGCCGTTTGAAGTTCTGCGCTGACTTTAAAGTGGCCAAAAGACCCTGAACGGCAGGTAGGTAGCAGACCAGGGATCCTGGGTGCTCGTTAGCCCAATGACTGTTTAATTAGCTCGATGAGGACTGCAGTGTAAATGCGCTTGCCTATTGACACAAATGGGCATCTGTGTTGTTCATTGCTCATGTGGGGCTAATTTATTCATCCTAAGCCATGTGTGTCTGGCGCACTAACGGGTACGTCAGATAACGGCACTCGTTTCATCTCGACACTTTAAAGCAACGGCAGAGAAAAAAAAAAATCACAATTCGGCAGATGAAAGGAAGCGTTGTGCTATACGGAACAAGACATGCAAAACGTCCTGGAACAGTCTTAAATTACATATGTGCCAATTACAGCCCGACTTGATTGCTTTCGCTTAATAGCTGTCTCATTTCATTTTTTTTTTTTTTTTTTTTTTAACGAAAGAGGCAACAATAAACTGTTGTAAGATTTGTTAACATTTGTATGCTAAGGAATAAAATACTGTAGCATATGTTAGATCAAGGCAGCGGTTTTAAATATGACATAAAATGGTGAATCCATCATCTATATTTATATAATATATAATTTCCATTGTGTAACTCGGGGTGTACACATTTGTAAGTGTCTTTCGGTTTGGCACGCATACGTACCAAACAAAAGGGCCGGTCCAACTACACTTTTCATTCTATTGACTTCCACTTGTGCGCATGTGAATCCAGGAGAGTGGAAACGCAAGCTTGTGTGAAAACATTTTGCATTTCGCTGCGAAAGTTCAAGTCCACCTCTGGGCAGCATTCTCTATTGGTAACAGCCTATAGGATTCTGATTGATTCAATTAATTGTTTAAATTTAAGTATTTGATATAAAAGACCACACTGACACATTTAATAATGAAATTAATAAAATTGCCTGTCACACTTTATTTTAAGGTCCAATTCTCGCTATTACCAAACCATTAACTATGACTTTTGCCGCAATAAACTCCTAATTTGCTGCTTATTAATAGTTAGTAAAGTAGTTGTTAAGTTTAGGTATTGGGTAGGATTAGGAGTGTAGAATATGGTCATGCAGAATACGTGCTTTATAAGTACTAATAAACAGCCAATACGTTAATAATAGGCATGCTAATAAGCATCTAGTTAATAGTGACAGTTGGTCCCTATACTAAAGTGTTACCAAACTGCCTGTACAGTATCTTATACTGTAATGCGGTTCCTCAAAGAAAAGAAACCAACCCATCTCTAGATAAAGGCACATATTCTACACTACCTCTTCTTATTCTGCTTTCCATTCCAAAAATGTGTTGATGAAAACACATTTAAATTTATACTGGAACAAAGCGACAGCATACAAAAAAAAACAAAAACTGAAAGTATGTCATGGAAATGTTTTCCTTTAAAAACTATTAATTCAGGACCAGGTCTTGTGCTCCAGGAGATGATGATGATGATGTCACATGTCCACTGGCAGAGTTAATGACTGAAATCGAATTAAACACGTACAGTTACTGCCAAGAGAGCGTGATGCACCAGGACAAGGGCCAAACAAACAAACAGCAAATAATGAGCTCATCGGTGGGTCGAGTCCAGCCTGATGTCATTCTTCAACCTAAATGGGAGTTTTTCCACCAATGTTTAGACACTGTAAATAATCTCACATCTGCGCCTGGTGGGTATGTTGAACGTGGCACACAGCTTTTCAGGGGAGTTTTGCTCATTTTCCTTGAGTGCCAGTGAAAAAGTGAGGCCAGACAAACTCGAACAGTGTCTAACCTGAAGTGTGCGATTCCACCCGGCACACAAACCCTGCAAGCTTCCTCAGAACGCCATCCTAACCACTTCCACATCTCCCGCTGCATTCCTGTGGTTGGGAACGGGCTCCGGGAGCACAGGCAGTAACCCCACGCTAGCTCCACATCTAAGGACTCTGTTGTGGGCCAGGAGATGGCCTTCCCAAAACAGGACTTAGAGCAGAGCCTCTTCCACAGCCCCATAATCCAGTCCAGACCACAGCATTGTTCACATTTTACTGGTCTCTGCTAGCACACAACAATACTAGAGCACTGCTGGATATCATGGCTTCAGAGTAGTCAGGGAGGCAAGACTGACCAAATATTGCCCTTGTACACTCAAATGAGAATCAGCATTTGTGTATCCAAATAACAATATAATAAATAATTGTAAACATTATAAACATTGTAAATATTATGCAAGGTTTATTGTAACAGTGCAGCTGGGTTATTATAGTCAACTAAAACTAAGGGTGTTTTCAGACCTGTAGATCGTTTGCTTTGTTCCGAAACAGGGACTTAATTTGTTACAATGTTGCATTTTCTTCTTGGTTCGATTCTCACAAGGCAACATCGCAAAGCATACCAAACTGGGTTTATGCAGGTCACATGTGAGTAAAGCTGTCCTCTTATTGGTCAGAGTTCACCTGTTTACGTTCCTCTGCGTCATTCATCAAGATGGATTGACAAGTTCGTTCCACGGGCTGGCACACGCAAACACTTACAAATGTAGCCGTCATTCACGCTCTAGATCGGA